CAGGACTCCAGAAGAAAAAGGGTGAGAAACCCTGCTATAATGGAAAGTGTGAGGCATTCAATTGTGGGTAGTTTTACCAACCCTGATTATAACATGTTTAAGGGCACTGCCTTTCCAAAATGAATTCCAGCAGAGATCAGTATGCATATGCATGCAGTCACATTTACATACATACATGTGTATATATATATATATACACACACACACACACACACACACACACACACACACACACACACACACTTTTGTGTGAATACTCATTGCTGGGGATCATTCTGGACAGCAAATGGCCAGATGTGGCCTTAAAAGAAATCAGAGGAAGGTCAACAGTTAAATAATTCTTTTGGGAATGTAATGATCTTATTTTCCACTCTGCTTGTTGACCTGTAGTTGCTTTTAAGAAGAGGAACTAGATACAGAAAAGGTGGAGCATGTTTCCTGATTCAGGTGCAAGAGACTGAGGAAGGGGAAGGAATATGGCTTCTCTCTCTCTCTCATATTTTTTCCACAAGACAGTTATTTTGACTTTATATATGTCCTGGTAGGCTAAGATATAACACTTGTTATACAGAATACTGTTTGTAAGAAGGAGAAAAGAAAATGTAAGCCAAACAGTGTTATAAATCTGACAAGCATAACCATAAATGAGGAGCAGCAATACTTAAAAATGTCTTTAAAATATGCTGTATCAATATTAGGCATGAAGGTGTTACACGGTTGCCAGAGCCACACAGAAATCCTTCCCCCACCTCCCCACTTGATTACTTTCTGCTTGTTTGACAGCTATGTTACTAACTGTAATGAATAAATTAACACTGCATAGCAGGAAGCCTGTTTAAATGGGTGATAATTTAAATACATACTTCAAAAAAGATTTGAGTGGTATAATCCACAACAAATTTATTCAGAACAGTGTGCTAAGTTACAATCACTACATTCAAGTAGTGTCAGAGATAGTTTTGTGGAATTAGCAGTTTTAAATTTTACTGTGTCATCAACAAACCCTAGATTAACAAGCTCAGTCACATGAGTAGCAACCTGGCATAGTAGAATATTCCTCTTAAAGTTATGATGTTCAAAACATAATAATTATAAAATTAATGTTAAAACAACATATTTTTCAAGATCTTAAAGAAATAGAGCCTCCTTAAATCTGCATTCACATTTTTCAAGCAATAATGTGGTGTTAAAAATTTCACTGAGAAAATGCTTCTTCAAGGTTTCAAGGTATAATAATGGATCCTCCTCATACACACAGCTTTAAAGTAATAAGATCATACTGTGTTATGAATATTAGGAAATAACCACAAACTAACATCACTGTTTAAACAACTTTAAAACTTGTTGGTGGATATTTGGAAGTCCTTGCTGACTGCACAGTGATTACAAAGAGTAAAACTACCATCAGTAATTCCTTAATAGCTAGTATGCAGTATACAGTATTCACATTTTCATAACACTATAGATCTATCAACTTATTGATAATCGCAATACACTTTTTACACAAAAAATATAAGTTTGTGGGGCTGTTTTACTTTTATGTAAGAGAAAACTTACATAGATTAGTTATGAGATTTATTTTTTAAGCCAAAGAATATGTTAGCAAATGAGCTGGAATTTGTACTTGGGAATTCCAGGCTCAAAGCTACGC